GAGAGAGAGAGAGAGAGAGAGAGAGAGAGAGAGAGAGAGAGTGTGTGTGTGTGTGTGTGTGTCTGTCTGTCTGTCTATCTGTCTGTCTGTCTGTACGTATGTGTGTATGTCTGTCTTTCTCGTTTTCTATCATGCTCACTTATACCTAAACTATAACTTTCAAACGAATCCGACGTTTTGCTTTACCATACATGTTAAAAACTAGTATCGTTCCGCCTTCATACCTTTGCGTATAATCTTGTGTGACCGACAAAATGACCGGGTAGTCCATCAATCCCTATCACCAGCGGAGGGGCGAAGATATACTTGCTGCAGCGCAACAAGCAGAGACACAGCCAGCCAACTAGAGTCAGGGCAGCCACATTCTGCCAGGAGATACCGAGCAAGTAATCCAAACCCTGCCACACACCGCGCCACTGGTTGACATTTCCGAAGACATACACGAGCGTGTACACCAACGTCGCGACGTAGTAAAACGCGGGACGATCCGGCGTCACGTCAGCGTCAAGATGGTACTGCGTCACTGTGAGCAAAAGCAAGATGGCGTAACCTATGACGCATGAAGCGAGCGCCGTCAGGCCGGCGTCGTCCGGTAGAAGGTAGATATCAAGCAACTGCCACACGCCGCGCCAGAAAAACACCGTGAGTGGCGCGAAAAACAAGATGGCGACGACCGAGTCTGCTAACAGCAGCCATTTTTTCTGCTCCATTTTTGTCCGTTCGCAGTTGACTGATTAAGTCGGCTTGGTGCGGGCTACCTCGCGCACTCTCGACCGCGTGCGTCAATGTCAATCTCGCCGAATGTTTCTTCTTGTGTACAATTCGTCGATCAACTTTACCGAACTGATTATGATAGCGTTTATCAACTATATGTCAACTTGCACGAGCTATATCAGTCGTGTCCCGACGAGATTGCATTGGCAGTGTCACAACAATAAAGTAGAAGTTTTAGCGTGCTACCGTGACTAGCGCGTTATCATGCACCGACCGCCTTACTGCCGTGGCGGCGGCGTTGCTTGAGGACATATATATCTAACATCACACGTCGCTCTGGCACGCAATAGATGGCCTCCACAAACAATTCGCGGGTTAATTAATGCGTACTCCACGTACCAGGTTCCCGTCTACCTGTGCGAACCGAAGCATGGCGTCCTAGGTGGCGTAACCTATGTCCTTGCATGTCTAGAGGATCATGTGAGTATAGTATTGCTGTCACGAAGCAAAAAAAAAGATCAGTTGCGTTGTTGTGTATACTGCACGGACATGGACGACATATACCATACTAACCCGAACTAGCCTGCTATGCGTACTGGCGCGCGTACGCTCACTTGCTTGGTAGTCATCATCAAACGATCACGTCTGTTTTAGTTGATGTGCATATCTATGTGTCTTTATGTGTGTGTGTGGTGTGTGTGTGTGTGTGGTGGTGTGTGTGTGTGTGGTGTGTGTGTGTGTGTGTGGTGTTGTGTGTGTGTGTGTGTGTGTGGTTTGTGTGTGTTTGGTGTGTGTGTGTGTGTGTGTGTGTGTGTGTGTTGTGTGTGTTGTGTGTGTGTGTGTGTGTGTGTGTGTGTGGTGTGTGTGTGTGTGTGTGTGGTGGGTGTATGTGTGTGTGTGTGTGTGTTTGTGATGTGTGTGTGTGTGTGTGTGTGTGTGGTGTGTGTGTGTGTGTGGGTGTTTGGTGTGTGTGTGTGGTGTGGTGTGTGTGTGTGTGTGTGTGTGTGCGTGTGGGTGTTTGTGTGTGTGGTGTGTTGTGTGTGTGGTGTTTGTGTGTGTGTTTGTGGTGTGTGTGTGTGTGTGTGTGGTGTGTGTGTGTGTGTGTGTTTGTGTTTGTGTGTGTGTGTGTGTTGTGTTGTGTTGTGTGTGTGTGTGTGGGTGTGTGTGTGTGTGTGTGTGTGTGTGGTGTGTGTGTGTGTGGGTGGGTGTTTGTGTGTGTGTGTGTTTGTGTGCTGTGTGTGTTCATGTGGTGGCTTTGTCGTGTGTTGTGTGTGTGTGGGGGGGGGGGGGGTTGTGTTGTTGTGTAGTGTGTGTGTGGTGTGGTGTGTGTGTGTGTGCTGTGCTGTGTGTGTGTGTGTGTGTGTGTGTAGTGTGTAGTGTGTGTGCTGGGCGTAGTGTGTCATGTGTGTGTGTTGTGTGTGTGTGTGTCGTGTGTGTGTGTGTGTGTGTGTGTGTGTGTGTGTGTGTGTGTGGCTGTTGGTTGTATCACGGGCCGACACTGGGGACATTTTCAAGTTTTTAACGTCACGATACTGGGATCACTAGACAACCGGGGACGTCCGCACTCGTAAAGATAGCAGTTGTATCGTATATTTCGTCATGTGCTGTCACCTAGTAAGCTAAATATATTACTGTCCCCACACGTCAAAATTTACGCTTTCTGTGTGGTGTTTTTCCGCGCGCTGTGTGTTGTGTTGCAAGCATGACGCATGTATGGACGCGGAGTGAGAAGTCCCCACCGTCACCACTCGATGACGTCACGCGCAATGCGTGTTTTAGTACTGCTATAGTGCAGTAGCAGCAATGGCGTGTTGCGAGCGCAGTAAGTTGAACTGTAATAGCAGACGGTAAAGGTTATGATTATCTGTAATTACGTAGGACATGAACGTCTATTAATTACAAATGATCTGCTACCTTCAGTTAATCAGGCACTCCTGCTAGCAACTTGACTACCGCTTCTATGGGCCCTACATGTCGGGTGTATCTTGGCCGTATTTATGACGCTATGATGTTTTAGACAACTCAACTTCCAATACTTAAATAATACTAAACAGCTAGCTGGGTGTACTAGATTACGCTAAATAGCGATAACGTACGTAAGCCCTCGATTCTGCCGGCAGGGTTACGTTATCTTATTTATAGATTTACCTAGACGCCGGTCTAGTCTACATTACTAGTAATACTACTACTGCTACTACTACTGTACTGTGTACAGTGCACTACTATAGTATAGGCTGTAGTTAGATAATCAACATGTTGATCATCAATACCCGACGATACGCTATCTAATGTGCCCTATTTAATCTATATTACACGCTACTACCTAGTAGCGCTACCTAGTGCGGCTTTAGCAGCTTATATTATAAATAAATAGGCTTCGTTGTTACTATATTAGTCTATTAGTTTAGTACGTTCGGACAAATAAATCCAACAAGGCAGACAAACATTCAGTGAACTCCTGTATTAAATTTGAAGTTTGTGTTACTTGTGTTTTATAGAAAACAATTTAAAAAAAAGAAGAATTCTCTGCTTATTTCCACCAAATGGAGAATGGTACACAGGTTGTGTACTCAAGCAATCTGATGGTAAGTTTTTTCCTTAAATTTCGGCCTTCATATTGCCATGCAGTGAAAACAAACCATTCATTGCTTCTATTTCAAATGATTTCTTGCATTATTTTGTGCGATATTTTGGAATTTACATGTATATATTGTATATGTATTTATACTTAAATTGAACATTTACCTTTACAGTTACAATTGTATCATATACATCTTATACACAGGTATATGGTGTATATATACACCACATATATATATATATATATATTTATATATATATATATATATATAAATATATAGCCCCCATATAAAGGTATACAGCCCTACAGCGACACAGAAGGTGCATATTAATATAAATATGAGCTTGCTATAATTGAATGACTTCGTTTAGTAAAATGGCATATCTATGTCTCTGCAAATTTTTTTATAGTTTTACTTTTTTATGATATCAGCAGGAAACTACTTTGTAAGATATGATGAGGACGGGGTACAGAGATGGCTGTTGAAGCATCAGATTAAGGGTAAGTAATATAAATTCATTATAATGTCACCTGTACTTGCATGGTCACTAAAATACCAAGAGCAGTAAGTTAAATACAGTGTAGCCTGTATAACGCGATGGTTGGGGTCCATAAAATGTTATATATAAGGTTATATATATATATTCATAAGGTTATATATACGTGGCTAGATAAGAGTAAAAACGGGGGTCCATCGACTCATCGTGTTATATCCGAATTCGCGTTCATGAAAATGACCATGATGTAGTTTATATTGCTATCAATGTAGACTTTAGTGGACTTTTTGGCTTTCATGTAAAAGCTCTAGTTTAGTTCATTAAATATGAATATCTCACAAAACAGTCATCACAAAAATAAGATATTTGGTCATTAGGCGAATTAATGCATGTTTTTGGGTTACTGTTCCATTTTTGCATTGGCATCTACAGGTGTTGGTATTTCAAATACTGTACTGATAGAAACATCAAGAAATGCATTGATTTAGGCTGTGTATTTTTATTGCAGAACTGGTATCACAGGAAGCAGAAAGCTGCGATAGTAAAGCGACAGGCAACGATTTAGTAACACAGGAAGGAGAAAGCTGCGATGGTAAAGCGATAGACAACGATTTAGTAACGCAGGAAGGAGAAAGCTGCGATGGTAAAGCGATAGGCAACGATTTAGTAACGCTAAATGGACTTAGTGCTTCTATTTCAAATGATTTCTTGCATCATTTTGTGCGATGTTTTATAATTTACATGTATATATTGTATATGTATATTATACCTTAAATGAATAATTTATGCTTTATCAGTTCAATTGTATCAATATAACATATTTATACACAGGTAATATGGTGTATATTACACCGATATAGATAAATATATATTAATATATATATATATCAGGAGTTTTAATGCAGACAAAGTCTATTCGTCCCCTTTTTTTTTGTCTTCAGTATTTTTTGTCTTCATTAACTCCTGATATATATATATATATAGCCCGCCATAATAAAGGTATACTACCCTACACACACGAAAGGTGGCCATATTAATATAAATATAAGGCTGTTCTATGGGTTGATGACTTCGTTAGTAAATGCATAGTCCATGTACTTTGCAATTTTTTGTATAGTTTTCCTTTTATTATTAACAGGAAACTAGCTTTGTAAGATATGATCGAGGACGGGGTAACAGAGATGGCTGTTAAAGCATCAGATTAAGGTGAAGTAATATAAATTCATTATAATGTCAGCCTGTAACTTGCATGGTCAGCTAGAAATACCAAGAGCAGTAAGTCATATACAGTGTAGCGCGTGCCCTGTTATAACACGTGGTTGGGGTCGCATAAAATGTCCATTGCGAAAAAAGGCGGCGGGTTGAGCACTAAATCGGGGGTATATATACGTGGCTATATAAGAGCGAAAAAGGGGGTCCAAAGCGACTCATCATGTTATAATCGCGAATTGCCGCTGTCGATAAAGAATTACCGCGGATGTTGGTTTATATTCTATTCAATGTAGACTTTAGTGACTTTTGGGCTTTCCATATAAAAGCTAAGTTATAGGTTCATTAAAGTATGAGTATGCCACGGAAACAGTCATCACACAAAATAAGATATTTGGTCACATTAAGCGGGCATTCAATGTTTTTTGGTACTGATTCCATTGTTTTGGCGATTAGCATCGGCACGGTGTTGTATTCTCAAATACTGTAGCTGATCAGAAACACAAGAAATGCATGATTTAGGCTGTGTGTTTCATTGTAGAACTGGTATCAGCAGGAAGCAGAAAGACTGCGATATGTAAAAGCGACAGGCAAGGCGATTTAGGAGGGGGGTGGGACACAGGAAGAGAGAATAGCTGCGATGGTGAAAGAGCGATGACAACGGATTTAGTAAGGCAGGAAGGAGAAAGGCTACGATGGTAAAGCCCACAGGCAACGATTTTAGTATCGACGATAAAGGCAGGACAGGCTGTGATGGTAAAGCGATAGCAACGATCTAGTAATGCGAGGAAGCAGAGAAGCTGGCGATGTAAAGGGCGATAGGCAACGATTTTAGTAAACGCAGGAGGTAGAAAGCTTGCGATGGTAAAGCGCTAGTGGGCACAGATTTAGTAATGGCAGGAAGGCAGAAAGCTGGCGAGGCCGGTTGGGTAAGCGATAGAAGACGATTTAGTAACGCAGGGAGGTAGAAAGCTGGCGATGGGTAAGGGCCGGCCGATTAGACAGACGATTTAGTAAGCAGGAGTAGAAGCTGCGATGGGTAAAGCGACAGCCAAGCGATTTAGTAACGCGAGGAAGCAGAAGCTGGCGATGGTAAAGGCGACAGGAAACGATTTAGTATGGCACAGGAAGCAGAAAGCTGCAAGTGGTAAAGCAACAGGCAACGATTTAGTAAGCGCAGACAGCAGACAGCTGTGATGGGTAAAGCGACCTAGACAACTGATTTAGTCACGCAGGAACCACACAGGCTGCGATGGTATAAGGACACAGACTAGCACGGCGAATGCAGACTACCAATCTGTAGGTGATAGGGATGAGTGAATGTAGATTATAACTGCTCATTCTAATGCACAGTGTCGGATTCGCGCATGAGTCAGAATGGATCAACCATCAGACGCAGGCATGTCAGATATCTTTCGCATGGTAGCTAAAAAATAAATCCTTCAGTAGAAGCTACTCCTCTAAGCATAGTGGCCTGCTTACCAGATGAGACGATACTTGCGATGTTGCTGTTGTGTTTCGGCCCCGTTTCGATGATATTGAGAACTGCTGGCAACATGGGATTGAGGTCAAAGTGGAGAAGGCGCGCAGAAACAGAGCATAACAGTACGGGGTACGAACTGATAGATCAGGAGCAGAAAATATGACAAGAAATTTTATTGGCTATTCTGGCAAGAAGGCTGCAAAGTAAAGCTAGTTCGGCATCTTAAAACTGTTCATACGAACTGAAGCAGCAATCTAAGTCAATATTTTTCTGACAAGAGACCCAAAACAAAAAAAGTGGCTAATGCTGAAATTGCGTAATCTTGGAAATCACGCAAGCATAACTGTGATGTGCTTTCGGCAGAAGACCTGGGGATCTGTGTATCACACCTGACTCAGAAAAGTGTAGATTACACAGCATATCTTCCATGGTCAATATTGTTATGCATGACTTCGCCAAGGCCTCGTTATGGACACAC